TTAACTATGCGATCAATATCAGAGTGATAAGAGCTACATTATAGCAACAAGTTTGGAGAGAATCGATGGAGGAATCTACCTGTTGAAGTTCAAATTCAGAGCTCTGAAACTTGACTTGGCTAGCATGATTCAGGACACCTCAAGGCTTGGTTCTTCTTCTGTTAGCTTCAGTGAAGTTCAGGGATGAAGAATCAGCAAAGAAATTGGATTGAAAGATGCTTTAGAATTGAATTTAAAGTTGCAAAATTATGAGTTATGGAGAGAGTTCAACAGGGGTTCTTTGGTTCTCTAAAGTTTGTCAAATGAGTGAGATATCATCCTATATTTATAGGGAAGTGAATAATGATGAGAAACGAGAGGCATTATGGCCAAATCGTGCAAACCAATCCAGTTGTGATCATGCCAAACATGTGACTTGAAATTCCTCAAAAATACCTTACAAAAATGAGACCGAACAAAACAAAGAAATGACAAGCTCCATTTAACTGTCGGGCTGAGATTGCTCTTCATGCTCATGGGGGCACTCCAGTATCGGGCTGTGACTACACAAGAACCCCTGGAGAACCGACTGTATGACCTTCGGTCTCCAGCAGGAAGCCAGGAATAACGATTTGACCATCCACCACAATATGAAGGAAGCAAATCCCCGTCAAAACAAGGTCGACTCCCGGGTTCATCAGACGGATCCAGGCCACCGCTTCTTAAAACTATTCTCGGCGACCATAAGAGCATCGTCATTGGTCTGTTGGATGCGAGTGACTAGCTCAGCAGTAGTTGTCATCCCCTTGACATCCCCGACTCCTTCTCGTTAGGGGCCATGGTAGACTTGAGCTCCTTCACCTCTTATTCAAGAGTTTTCTTCTCAGCTGCCCAAGCATCCTTCTCCTCGGATAGAGTTTTCCTCGCCTTCGCCACTTCCTCAAGATCAACCCCTGCTTTCTTCAACTTCCTCCCAAGGGGCTTATTCTCCTCACAGGTTTTTCTCAACTTCAGCTCCTCAGCACTCCCCTCCTCGGAATGGATCACCGCGGCCCCCAAGATCCGCATCAGGGCAGTAGTGTCTTGAGCCAACATGGCCCTCTTGCTCCAACGATCCATCTCCCCGTAGAACATGGACTATGCCCGATGAACTTCCAAGGAGTCTCCTTCAAAGAGATTTCTTTTGTGGAAACATGGGGGCACCTTGAACTTCGCAAGACTCGGCTCCTCAATCAGATCTATCAGGTCGTCTGAATGGGGCCTCTTGGACCTGAAGCTCACAGGAAGAGAAGAATCTTGCCCAACAACTAGACCCGAAAAAGAAGTCTCCGACCCTGTCGGAGGAAAGCCAACCCCGTCTTTGCCCAAGAGGATCTTCGCAATCGACTCCTATGCTTTCTTGGCCTTGGCCACATCATTTTTTAGCATGTGTTAATGAGGAGTAGATATTTTTCTCTGCAATAAAACAAGCACGAATTAGAAAAACATGGACGTCAGGATAAGAGCAATTCAAAAATAAAAATGACTACCTAAATACTTCACAGGGTCCTCGCACTCGAGGAGCTCCTTAACATTTATAAGTTCTGGTTCGAACACATGCTTCCCATATTCGTCAGCAATAAGCCTTCCCCTTTTCCCATACGCTGAATAAGGGGAATCTCTGCTACAAAATCCAATAGACGATCATAGTCAGCCTGGTCCTCATGGTTCAGCTGCTCCCCCTTCACTATGTAATGATCGGTCCCATGGTCAAAATGCTCACTGTTGCAATGAAAATTGAACCTATGCACCAACTCCATCCTCGGTTCCCCCTCCTCAGTCCTCATCGGATCCCCGTCCTCACCCAACTGAGGGACACTCACAAAAACGTTCAGGACCGCCTTCTCCGACACGGGCTGGACTAACAAGTACCTGCTCTTGAAGTTACAAACGAACTCAAGATAGGGCTTGAACAATTTCCCGTTAGCCTGCTTCAAGGAGACCCATCCGAGTTGGTCGTCGATTGTACCTCTCTGAAGATGAAAGCAATAGAAGAACAAAGGGACAATAGCCCTAATCTTCAAATAATCACACACGATCTCGAAAGCCCGCATAAAGGCTATCGAGTTGGGAGGGAGCAAGACCAAGATAGTTGAAGACGACCACTTGTAGGTCGCTGAAGGGAAGCCAGAGACCCATGTCTCTGAAGAGGATATCGTACACGGGAAGGTGATTTACATCGTACTTTAAGCATATGCGATGGTGCCTCCCGAGGATGTAGACTGCCCATTCCTCCTCGACACCCTCTAGCTCCATTCCCGAAGCCACATTTGTGAACACTTCCTCCTGATGGTCGGTGAAGTAGCAAGCGATCTCTCGAGGACCCGATGCGATCCACTCTTTATGAGCCGTAGGAGCCCCGGGCACATCCTTCTCAACTGTATTTTTCCCCGTCACACTCGGCTCAGAGTTATACTACCCCGACATACTCTCCTCGATGGAAGTATGCTTAGACAGATCCAAATCAAAATCGCCTTGCTCGCTCATGACTTCATCTTTAGTGCTGCTTGCCATTTTACTTGAAAAAAAGAGGACGAAAGTGAATTCAACATCAAATCCACCCTTCCACCACTAATCAAGTGAAAGGGCACGCAAAGGAACGACAACCATGTCCTCAACTAGAGCCCTCACTCAAAAACAACAAAAAATGAGCCAAGGGCAATTCCCTCTAATGCATTGGGCACCTACCCACCAGGATAAACCCTAACCTACACAAAGAATGATCTCCCCGACTGCTGGGTTTTGAACCTCACGCGGGAACTCATCAGAAATGCATGAGAATCATAACAGAGGCCCAGAAACAACCCAACATCGCTGAAAAATTCATCGTGAATCACCATCACCAGCCCTAGGTCTAGACATCTCTAAACAAATGCACGAAGGAGTCAACATCCTCATATGACAGAACCACCGTCAAACGCAAACAAACCTCTGAATATTTCGGCACAAAGCTATTCTAATCCTAACCACATGCATTTCTAAAGACAAAATCATGGAATCTAACCTAAATCAGAGATGAAAATCACATAAATTGGGAAAAAGCAAGGAAACTTACTTGGTCAAGGAAGGTTGACGGTGGAACGAGCAGAAATTACGGTGGTGTACGATAGTGCTGTACGAGGCTAGCAGAAACGAGCAGGGAAAAGATGGCGAAAAGTAAAAATGAGGCTTCCTCTCTCCCATTTATAGGCAGCTTTGCCAGCACGTGGGCAAGCACGCGCCTAGGGAAGCCTAGGGTCATCATCATGCCCTAGTTCCTAGACTTGCCATCATTGCACATTTATGACAACACGTGGCTCAAGACAAGCACCACATGCTAACCTCTCATATCTCTGCAAGACGAACACACCGAACATCGTTCGAGCTCCTCGTGTGGAATTGTCCAAGGAACGTCCCCCTTTTGCGGGCACATCCTAAGTCATCACTCATTTGACCAGAAGCAACAACTTGAGGGCTCATATTCTGGACTGACCCAATAGCTAAAATTGACCCAATCCGCTTCTACCTTCAAGGTGGCCCAACAGCTTTGGGCCATTATCCCTGGTCTTCAGCCGAGCACACTTGGTCAATCACACCGCAAGAATATCAAGGATAACGATGCTCTGACCGTACGTCTGCCCGCATCAACGTCCACTTTCAAGTCTGCTCGTCGTGCATCGAGCATACACCAAGAATACGCTCACAATGTGTTTGCCCGTCATCTCATCCTGGCTCGGAGCAACGACTAGTTACGGGCATGATTGTCTGTTTTGATCAAGTCCTAACAGTTACTTATTTTTGAGGAACCTAATATCTAGGTCCAAAAATAGAGACCAATGACTATGCGTTGGGGACATTATATAAACTCTCACACTCGTGAGGACCAGATATTCAATATTCATTATAAAATCCTAATCTCTTTCTTGTATCTCTTTACACTCTTTCTCGCTAAATCGTCGGAGTGCCTTGCAAGTACACCCCTTCCTCTCCTCATATTTCCAGCCAAACAAACGTCATCATCTCGACCCACCTCAGATTCTGATCAACTAATAATATATATATATATATATATATATATATATATATATATATATATATATATATATATATTTAAAATAAGAATATTATTTTACACTGACCTTTAATTACAAATCTCAGTGTATTTTTTACTGTTTTCTTTTTATAAAAATTAATTACAAATATATAAAAAAAGAATTTAATATTTTATTTTGAAAGATATTAATTTATTTATAGATAGCTTTGATGTACTTTTAACATAAATTTAATACAACATCTTACATCACAAGCCACATTTTGAATGAATATCAAGATACAGCGAAAGTCAAATATTAGCAGTTACTATTCAACTATTATGATGATATGATAAATAAAAGTTGGATTTAAACTCATGTAATAGTTTGAAATAATAAAACATATATATTTTCAGAAACATTGTTTGTCCATAAGGCTCGTTCCTGATATAGGAAAATAAAAATCATAGATAAAATTAACAAGAATGAACGATTCATTTCTACAGTTAAAACCCTAAAACGAAACAAAGCTCTCATAACTTCCGTCATCATTTTCCCTCACAAGCGCAACTTCGAGTCGTACTCAACTCGCCGGAGAACCGTCGTCGACCGCCACAAACACCGACGAACTCGTTCAGGTAACGCTATTCTTCATCTGTTCCATTTCCGTTTTCGGATTTTCCTTCGTAGCGCGCGCGAGAATGCGTTTGCTTCGCGATTTGCGCCTGCAGTAGTCGCTATTGCGTGATTAAACGGCGCGATTGACGATGTAGTTTGAATTTCAATGCATTTTGTTCGTTGATGAGTTTCTTGTTTCCGATTTTTTTTTTTTTTTTTAGTTTCTCATTTTTATGTTGTTTTCTTAATTATTTTATGTCTTGTTTCTACTGTGAAAAGAAGAGTGTGGGATGTGATTATGAATTGGTTACATGTGTTTTTTATTTTTTATGTTAGGAATGAGGGTTTGAAGGAATGACAACATCAATGTCAGTGTGTAATGAACAATTTGAAGAAGAGTTTGGGAAGCCGTTGATGGAACTTGGAGACTCTACTATGGTTGCTCGGCCTAAGTTTAAGTGCCGTAAAATTTGTGCTGTTCGTGATTATCCGGAAGGTTGTGGACCGTTTGGTTCGGCTGATGCTACAAGTGTTGAGGATAAGAGTAACAAAGATTTGGAGGTTGATGCTGTTAGTCCTGAACATCATAATGATTCTCAATATTCCGAGCATGAAGATAATTTGGTAGTTGCGGAGACTCTTGAGCAAACGAGTGACTGTAGTTTGAAGAAGGAAGTTCCTGTGATTTTGTCTGATCAAGTGGCGTTGGTTGGCATGGAAACTTTGGGTGCAGAATTTGCTACAGAAAGCTCTAATTTGAAGAAGGAAGATCCTGTGATTTTGTCTGATCAAGTGGTATTGGCGGGCATGGAAACTTTGGGTGCAGAATTTGCTACAGAAAGCTCTAGTTTGAAGAAGGAAGTTCCTGTGATCTTGTCTGATCAAGTGGCATTGGTGGGCATGGAAACTTTGGGTGCAGAGTTGGCTACAGAAAGCTCTAGTTTGAAAAAGGAAGTTCCTGTGGTTTCATCTCATCTAGTGGATGGACCCATTTTGGATAATGACGAACATGCAAATGTGGCGTTGGTGGGCATGGAAACTTTGGGCGGGGAATCTGTGGCAGAAATCAGTAGTTTGAACAAGGAAAACCCAATGGTTTCATCCCATAAAGTGGATGGGTCTACTTTGGCTAATGATGAACCAGCTAAAGTGACATTGGTGGGCACGGAAACTTTGGATATGGAATTTGCAATACAAGACTCTGTAAAACAAGATTCCTTATATATGTCAAAGGCATCGTCTCCTGTTGGTGAGTCAGCTATGTCCGATGACTCAAAATCCTCTTCGTCCAATATCAATATAGGTGGTTCCGGGGCTTGTATGGAGGAGGCTGTAACTAAAAGGTATCCTCCTCGTAGAAATTTTGCAGCAGTCAGAGACTTTCCACGTTTTTGTGGGCGCAATGCTCCCCGTCTTACTAAGGACGAGCTCTCTTCTCTGAATGAAAAGAGAGCGGCAGGTCAACAAAATTTGGCTGTAGATGCCAGTCTGTTGAAAAAAGTTGCAGACACTGATGCAAAAGAAATGGAAAATAACAAGAGAAAGACCGTTAACATCGTTCAAGCTGGCTCTGAAGAAGAGAATAATGCTGCGCAGAGAGTCAAGAAGCCGGATGTATTTGAACCATCTTCTGAGATGAAACTGGCACCGGATAACACAAGAGAAAAGAGCACTAAACTTCCCGAAAAACGTAATCATCATCAGGTTAACATAAATTCCAAGGCAGTGGCTAAAGAGGAAATTATGAACACTGTACAGGTCGAGGGAACATCAGGGCTAGATATTTACTGCCCAGAAGTCCAAAGTCCTGAGACAAAACCTTTGGCTATATCAAGAGAGGAAGTAGTGCTAGGTTTGAAGTCTAAATCAGAATGTCCTTGGAGATCTCAAGTTAGTTCTTCGAAATCTAAACCAGCATCAATAGGTGGTACAGAAGAAAAGAAGGCAAAGAAAGTTGATTTTTATGCCCAGCTAGACAGGTCTAAAACTGCTGTCAAGACGAAAGATATACGGAGTCATTCTGGGCACGAGCCATTGAAAAAGAAAAAACTAAACTCCACTTCTGATGATGACATGGGTCAACTAGTAAGACGGGAGAAGAATTCTCTAGACCCTAATGAAAATAACAAAGTCTTTAAAAGTGTCCCAAAATCACATGGTTCGAGTGTCCCAAAATCTTTGAGTGTCCCAAGATCGAGTGTTGTTGTTCCTCCTATTGGCTGTAGTAATTTTAGTGGTCACGAGAATGACTCAGCGACTCGGAATGAAGTGAGGAAAGTATTGCGCCTGTTCCAAGCTGTTTCTAGAAAGCTTTTGCATGAAGCGGAAGCAAAAGCAAAGTCAAATGAAAAAGAAAGAAAAAGGGTTGATTTACAAGCTGCTAAGATACTTAAGGAGAACGGAAACTTTGTTAACACAGGGAAGCATATATTGGGACCTGTACCCGGGGTTGAAGTTGGTGATGAATTTCAATACAGAGTAGAGCTTAATATAATTGGCCTTCATCGCCAGATTCAGGGTGGTATAGATTATACAAAGCACAATAATAAGGTCCTTGCAACTAGTATTGTTGCGTCGGGGGGTTATGCTGATGATTTGGATAATACAGATGTTTTGATATATACAGGGCAGGGTGGAAATGTGATGAGCAGTGGTAAAGAGCCAGAAGATCAGAAACTTGAAAGGGGCAATCTTGCATTGAAGAACAGTAGTGAGGTAAAGAATCCTGTTAGGGTGATACGAGGCTCTGAATCACCGGATGGAAAAAGTAAGATATATGTTTATGATGGGCTGTATCTAGTTGAGTCAACTTGGCAGGATATGGGGACCCATGGGAAGCTGGTTTATAGGTTTCGCTTGCGAAGAATCCCGGGTCAACCGGAGCTTGCCTTGAAGGAAGTGAAAAAATCTAATAAGTTCAAAACAAGAGAAGGTCGATGCGTGGAAGATATTTCCTGCGGGAAAGAGAGAATTCCCATATGTGCTGTGAACACCATAGACGACGAGAAACCCCCTCCATTTAAATACATAAAGAAGATGATATATCCTGATTGTATCAACCTTGTCCCTCCAGAAGGCTGTGGTTGTACTAATGGATGCTCGGACCGTGCAAAATGTTCTTGTGTTCGAAAAAACGGAGGGGAGATTCCATTTAATTATAATGGGGCTATTGTAGAAGCAAAGCCTCTAGTCTACGAGTGCGGGCCTAAATGCAAGTGCCCTTCAACCTGCTATAACAGAGTTAGCCAACATGGGATTAATATCCAACTCGAAATTTTTAAAACCAATTCAAGGGGATGGGGTGTTAGATCCCTAAATTCCATCGCTTCAGGAAGTTTTATCTGTGAATATATAGGAGAGCTTCTTGAAGACAAGGAAGCTGAACAAAGAACTGGCAATGATGAGTATCTTTTTGATATTGGAAATAAAAACAACAGTACTCTTTGGGACGGACTTTCGACCCTTTTGCCCGATTCACAGTCACATTCTTGTGAAGTAGTGAAGGATGTTGGCTTCACTATTGATGCTGCTCAATATGGTAACGTGGGGAGATTTGTCAACCATAGTTGCTCCCCTAATCTTTATGCTCAGAATGTCCTTTATGATCATCATGACAACAGGGTTCCTCACGTCATGTTGTTTGCTGCCGAGAACATTCCTCCCTTGCAAGAGCTGACTTACGACTACAATTACATGATAGATGAAGTTTGTGATTCCGATGGCAACGTCAAAAAGAAGTCCTGCTATTGTGGTTCTGTGGATTGTACTGGTAGGTTGTATTGACGACTGCCATGTTAATTGCTGGAACAATGTTATCTATACATCTTTCAAACTAAAATTCCAAAAAAATGGAACTTAATTTTGAGCCATGTTTATAATATCAGTTTCTTCACCTTTATCAGTATTTTTTCACTAGGCTGAGTTTGGAACAAAATTTTGTGAAGAGTTATGTTGTCATTTGAATGTGAAAGCTCATGTTTGGTAATTTTGGGTTGATTTTACGATAAAACTTTTTTACTTTATAATTAAGTTTCACAATTTTTTTAAAATTTCAATTCTTTTCTTAACACCGAAGTCAAACCTTTGTGCCAATTTGGACCTTTGCATCTTTTTCCCGTTTGTTTGCTAGTAAGTGATTATTTTTGGAAGCGTAAACCTAATTTTCACTGTCAGTATAAGTAAAGTAATTAATTTTATTTGACATTTTTTTCTTGTTTTTCATAGGTTTCCTCCGGGGGAGGTAATCATATCCAAGGCTCTTTCAATTCAATACTTGTAGGCATCTCCTCCCCCAGTTGGGACTCAAATTATAGTATTATTATATTAATGACAGTCTAATCTCTTCTATTAGACCCGATTTTGGTTTGTTATTTTTTTTACCTTTTATTAAGTAACTATATGAATGTAATAATATATTATTAATTTAAATTATATATTTTCAAAGCTTAGATGTGAGTTAAAGGTGACGACTATTCTCGACTTATTCTATTAGAGTGATTAGATAAGTGATATCATTAAAGTTATCTCAAGAATATTAGCAGATTCATTGGATTTCTTATGACATCAGAAGCCAAACACAAGCAAAGAGAAAAAAAACACCTTATTTTTTTATTTATCAATCGACAAGTCATATGAAAATCACACAAATCCCCATAGTTTTAGTACAAGTACAAAGAGCACTCCACCCACCCACCCACTTCTAGTACATGAACGTTATTTTTTTAGAATGACACAAACCAGAACCAATAAAATACTAGTCACATAGTCCCTATTTGTAAGTGCTTTGTTTTTTAATCAAACTGAATTTGTGAGTCATAAACAGCACCAGCTTCCCAATCACTAGAGATGACATTCTTGGACTGCACCCAATAAAGACCAGCACTACCACTCACTTGGAGCCTCAACTTGATCCCATCTCTTGGAGGGTTCTCAGCATCAAACACTGCCCCAAACACCCTACGCATTGGCCTCCACTCTTGATAATCCTCCTGTTTGCAAGAAAACCAATTCAATTCCGAACTTCGTAGCCCTGGCGCATCTAAAACATAGATGTGTTTGATGTCTGACATGTGTCAATGTTTGACATCAACACGTCTAAAACATAGGCGTGTCTGATGTCTGACATGTGTCAGTGTCGGACATCAACATGTCTAAAACATACGCGTGTTTGATGTCTGATATGTGTTTGTGTCTAACATCAACATATCTAAAACATATGTGTGTTTGGTGTCTGATATGTGTTCATGTTTAACATCATCTAATTTTGTAGATTTCAAGTAGTGTAACTAAATATAACACTTTAAAAACAACAAATGAATATATGTATATACCTGCCACAATTGAATACCAGTTACATCAATTCTTCCACCAACATAGAGAATGATAATGGCAAAGTAGTGAGGGTATTCGCTACGTTCATGTACCTTTACCAACACATTATAACCATTATATTTGCAAGGAACTCTTTTATATTCTATATCCACCACACCATATTTAAAAAGTTCTGCAGATGCATCAGAATTTTTGCCCAATCTCGAATAGCCACGCGGACTCATGATGAAGTCTGTCCTATCTCCCACACCATAATCAGTCACCACAACATATGCTCCATTCTCATCACACAATCCTGCTATTTTGCACCTCACCTAATATATCATTATTAGCGGATACTGATAAAGACATGTTTTGAGGTGCAAATAATTTTATATGAAGAATGATATACTAGTATAATATAAAGAATGTTTTGAGTTATTACTTGGTAGCATGCCCCGCAACCCGATCCGTTCTTCCATAACCAAGACACTCCTGCAACATTGCCATCATTTACTGTCTGTCCATAATCACCATAGCCACAAGCTCCCCCTAAAACGTGTTAATTGCAACTCAAGTCATCTACTTTAAGCAAAAATATGTTATGTCACATGCATTATATATAGATGTTACAATATATATATATATATATATTGGTAGAAGAGGAGGCACACATACTTGGATTTCCATAGCAATCTGGGCTACCATAATAGGTTGCTCTAGAGAAAATATAAGAGTCTTGAGAGTTACACAGGATAGGTAAGAGCAATATTATGAAAGAAACAAAACCAATTTGGCTCTTAAAATTAAGTTTCATTATAATAAATGATAATTTGTAAAGCACAAAAAGTAGAGAAAGATTATTTAGGATGGTATATGTTAGAAACTAAGATGCAGTGTCATATTTATAGTAGAATGTTGATGTCATTTACTGAAGTAGTAACCAATTAATTGTTTTTTCCTTTCCACTTGGAGTTGGAAGAAGATTGGAATAATGATGTGTACATCTAGACCCTATAATTGGAGCACCAGGGCCAGGGTCATTATATAATATTTGAACCAGTTTATTATTGCAGTGGGAAAATGCCTAACTTTGTTTTATTGAAATAATATTCTTGGAAGATCCATGCACTTTCAGCTCAACTTAAGGTTCAGAATATACTGTCTTGAAACAATTGAGATAAAAATTAAAGTCTGAACTCAAGGAATCATAGTCTTTCTGTGTACATATCTTATTGGATTATCATCTCTATTATTCTAGATGTTTTTTCAATTCACCTCTTTAAAATCATCTCTATTATTCTGTTCAAAAACTAGAGGTAGATGATGAAATAGATCTCAGATGGGAAGGATCAGTCTTCCGATGCGGTGGATCAGACTTCCAATGCAGTGGAGATGGAGTGGACCTACAAAGTTAGAACTTTAATGTAGACATAGCAAAAAAATTCGGACTAGGTCGGACACGCCCGCCCTGTCTCGAATCTAACAAGGAAAAACTGATTTAACTGGGGGTGTTAAATATGTAATTCTTTGTATTAACCATGCTTGTAAGATTCGACAAAGTCGAAGTCGAATGTATTCAATAGAGTAGTCGAATACAATTTTAATCGAACTATGTAGTTGTCGAAGGAGTTAATCTCAACACAGTTAAAACTTAGCATTTGTTTTGTAACAATTGAGTTAGTTAAATATTACTTGGTGTGTAAGTAATCTCATCTATAATTAGGGAGACACCCTTATTTGTAATAGAGCAGCAAGTGAACAATTCAATTATAATTGAATAAAATTCTCTTCTCTTTTCCAAAACCCTAATTTTTCATCTTTCTCTCTTTCTATCTCAATTTATCTACTCTCATCAAATCTTTGGGATCTTGTGAAGAATGGAGTAACATCAATCAGAGAGAATGCTATGGATGAACAAAAGGCCGCACATAAAGATTTAAAGAAGAAAGACTATAAAACTCTCTTTATAATTCATCAACGCGTTGATATGGATAACTTTGAGAAAGTTAGTGATGTAGACTCAACAAAGGAAGCATGGGACATCCTGGAGAAATCGTTTGGAGGTGCTGAGAAGTTGAAAAAGGCGAGGTTACAAACTCACAAAAAATGTATGAGCTGCTTTAGATGGAAGAATCTGAAAGTGTGACTGATTTCTTCACCAGGGTTACAAAATTGATGAATCAGAGCAAGATGTGTGGAGAAGTGTTGACATCAAGATTGATAGTTTCAAAGATTTTGAGGTCATTGACTCCAAAATTCGATCATGTGGTAGTAGCCATAGGAGAATCGTAGGATTTGTCAAGCATGCAAAAGAAGAGCTTCAAGGAATACTTAAATATCATGAATAAAGAATGACTGAAAGATCTACAAGCAAGATGAAAGGTGATGTAGCTTTGCAAGCGCAATAAGCAAAAGAAAAGAAAGACAAAGGAGTATGGAACGATAACAGAAGTAGAAGAGATTATAACAATTTGAATGGTAGAGGTAACCAACAAGAATGAAATTCGTCGAACAAGAGAAGACCCTCAAACAAAAGCAATCACAGAGGTGGTGCTGCAGATAGAGGAAGGGGTGGTGGAGGAAAATCTAATAAGAGTCACATTCAATGTTACAATTGTTAGAAGCATGGTCATTATGCTAGTGATTATTTCGAAAACAAAATAAATAATTAAGAAACTCATGCAAGACTTGGAAGACACGTAAAAGAAGAGATGTTACTGATGTTCATAACGAAAGATGAAGAAAGATTCAAGGACCAATGATACTTAGACTCAGGTTGCTCATCACATATGACTGGAAGAAAATATTTATTTGTCACATAAGTCCCTTGATGAAGAACAAGGTGAAATTTGCAAATGACAGTACTCTGATTATTGAAGGTATTGGTGATGTACTAATTATGGGGACAAATGAAAAAAGGTCAGTAATTTCTAATGTATTATACATGACAGGCATGAAAAGAAATTTTCTCAGCATATGGAAACTGATATAGAAGAATTACAAAGTGTTAATTAAAGATAAGATGATGAGAGTTCTCGATTTAGGTGGTAGGTTAGTCTTGAAGGCACCTATGTCTCAGAACAGAATCTTTAAGATTGAACTTAATGTGATGGAGCACAAGTGTCTAGAGACTACAACTAATAGATATGAATGACTATTGCACTATAGAATTGGTCATCTCAACTTTAAAGACATACAAAATTTGAAGAGAAGAAACATGGTTTCAGGTTTACCAGAAATCGACATTCAAAATGAAATGTGTGAAGAATGTGTTCAAGCAAAGCAACACAAGAATAGTTTCAGTAAAGATGTACGAAGTAAGTCGAAGGCAATCCTTAAATTCATATATTCCGATCTTATCAATTGATCAGAACCTGCAAATAGACCGAAGGATGACGTCTTGTTTGTTGGAAAGTTGAGGAGAAGAGGGGGGTTGTACCTGCAAGGCACTCTGACGATCAAGTAAGAATGGGTACAAAGAGATACAAGTAGAATATTAGGGTTTAAGGTTTGAATATTGGATATCTGGTCCTCACATGTGCGAGGGTTTATATAATGTCCCCGACGCTTGTCCATTGGTTTCTATTTTTGGGCCTAGATATGCGGGTCCAAAAAAATAGGTAACTGTCAAGACTTGGTCAAAATGGACAGTCGTGCCCGTAGATAATCGTTTGTTCCTAAGAGGAGGCGGATTACGGGCCGAAAGACGTTCTGGATGTTTCCTGGTTGTCTGCTCGACTCGTGTCGGTTAAAGAAGAGATAGCTACTCACTTGGGCAGGCGTGCGTATCGGGCATCATTGGTCGCGCTTCTTGAGATGTGTTTGACTAGGGATGCTGAGCCAGTGTTATTGGGCCGTGCCAAGGGTAGAAACGAATTAGGTCAATTATAGCTATTGGGCTAATCCAGAACAGGAGCCCTCCAAGTCGTTGCTCCTAGTCATAAGAGTGATGACTTAGAGTCAGCCCACGAGGGGTTAGGGACGCTTCTGGATGTGCTTGGGGAAACTGTGTCAAGGAGTTCGTACGTGATTTCTGTTGCTCGATGTGCGGGGAGCCTAATAGGTGATTAGACTTTTGAGAGGCGGCGTGTCATGCGTTCTTCGAGCCACGTGCTATCATGAAGGCGTAATGATGGAAAGTCTATGGACTAGGGCATAATGATGAAGAACTTTAGGTTTCTCTAGGCGTGTGCTCGCCCATGCACTAACGAAGTCATCCTATAAAAGGCAGAGAGGAAGCCTCATTTGTACTTTTCTCTTGTTCTCACTTCACTCGACTATCTTGTTTCTGCTCGACGTTGCTTTCCAATGACGCTTTTGTTTGCTCCATCTCTCGCCGCCGTAGATACTTGTTAGCTATCACCGTCATTCCTTCTAATCTGATAAGTTTTTGATTTCCTCTACCTTTTCTGTGTTTCATACTTGTTCTAGGTTAGATCTTTTGTTTACCCTAGAAATGCATGTGGTTAGGGCTAGAATAGTGAGAAAATTTTTCCGGGGAGTGTTGGTGTTTAGATGGTGATTTAGTCGTGTGAGGGTGTCGACATTACCGTGGACCTTTCCAGGAGGTCCTAAGCTACGACGAGTGTTTGATGATTTCTCTGGCGAAGTTTAGGCCGTTTCTTGGTTTCTGTCATGATCTTTGTGCATTCCTGATGAAATTCCTGGGCGATTTTGGACTTAGTAGTTTGGGGGGACGTTGCCCGTGAGATTATTGGGTTTCGACCCATTCTTAGGCGCCAAAAGCGTTCGATAAGGACCATCGTCGTTCCTATTTATTGTTGTTGAGTGAGGGCTCTGGTTGGGGATAAAGTCCTTGTTCCTTCGCGCCCCTTCACTTGATTAGCGATGGAAGGGTGGATTTGACTCTGATGTCGAACTCACTTTTGTCCTCTGCTTTTTAGGTACAATGGCTGATAGTGACGACGAGTTTTTGAATGAACCAAGCAGTTCTGCCCAGAGTTCTAATGAATATACGTCCACCGAAGAGAGCACCTCGGAGATGCTTGAGCCTGACCCGTGCATGCAGGAATTGGGCTCACCCGAATAACATGCGATCAGGGAAGATGCGCCTGCGGTCGTCGAAGACCCTCTGGCTTGGGTCGCGCTAGGCCCCTGGGAGCATGCTTCCTTCTTTATCGAGCATCTAGATGAGGTGTTCACGAATGTGGCTTAGGGGATGGGGCTCGATGGTGCTAATAAGGAGTGGAAGATATACATTCGCAGGCTGGGTCATCGTATTTTCTGAGTTTGATACTCGACAGATTCCCATGTATGGCATCCCATTTCAAGAGATGGGTTTTCGGCTCCCTTTTACTGATCTTCAGGTGGTTGTTTTCCGTCATCTCTTCCTGGAACTGTCATAGCTGCACCCTAACTCCATCACCATCATATGAGCTTTCGAGATCGTGTGAAATTATTTGAAGATAGAGGCGAAATTTTCCTTGTTTTTCTATTGCTTTCATCTTCAGAGAAGCGCATTCGATACTCAGTTCGGATGGGTTTCTTTGAAGCAGGTGAATGGAAAACTGTTTAAGGCCTACTTGGACTTTGTCCAACTCTTTAAAGATAAGTATATTGTGATCTAGCCTGTGTCAGAGAGGGCATTGCTGAACATTTTTAGGAGTGCCCCGGTGCTCGACGAGGATGAGGGTTACGTCCTGAACGCAGATGGGGAGAAGGTGATGAAGTTGGTGCGTAAGTTCCATTTTCACTGGACAAGGAATCATTATGATAAGGAGATCGACCTTTATGTCTGGAAGAAGGGTCAACTTGGTCCCGAGGATGAGGCTAGTCACAAGCATTTATCCGCCT